CGAAATCATTTAAAGGTCAATCAGTGGTCAGTTGAAGATCCAGTTTTACATTAAAACTCACGAGGGAAGATCATCCCGCATCGGTCAATACAAGATTGATGTTCAATTCCAACCTCATCGTCAGAAAGTCATGACCTGCACCTCTGGTTTTTAAAGCTCTTCGTGCTCCTGGAAATAAATGTCCCTGTCAATATCACAGCGCCACGGCACATCGACGGTGCTAAATCATATCCATTGATCAGCATAATGCTTTGCAGAGGGGCAGATTATGGTATAATCTATAACAAGCCAGATTATGAAATTGGAGAGACTTAATCCGTGCAGAGTCATTCACCGAACTACAAGTCATCAATCGTAGAGTCAAGCGGTGTCTTGACCTTCATCGGGTCGCAGCGCAGAGCATCACCGCACACAGCAAGTGCTGATCCAGCAGCCCTGCGCATCAACTTTGCAGGTCACGAGCTGCTCTGACTCTGCCTGAACAGCACACAAACACACAGGTACAACACACACTACAAAACAACTCAGGTGTATGTATATCTGAAGTTAACTTCAGGATTTTGGACAGTATACAGTATAAGACTATAGTTTTTAAAATGGATAGATGGAGATAGATAGATAGATAGATAGATAGATAGATAGATAGATAGATAGATAGATAGATAGATAGATAGATAGATAGATAGATAGATAGATAGATAGATAGATAGATAGATAGATAGATAGATAGATACTTGAATAGGACCTACCTGACGAAGTGAAGTAGACCAAAAGATCCTCAAAATATAGTTAGATAGACAGAACTGAGTAAACTAAATTGGCCACAGTGAGAGATTTGTTGGATAATTAGGAGAGTGTATGGGTGATTCCCAGTAATGGATTGCAACTGCAAGGGTATCTGCTTCATAAAACATATGCCAAAGTAGATGGGGGTTCATTCCATTGTGGTAACCCCTGAAAATTCAGGGACTAAGATGAAGGAGAGTGAATAATATAGATTTTAACTGCTATATATGTGTCAAGATGCTTTTTTCTCTTATTTGTCTAAAGCCAGTTAGAAACTGGTTCAGGTTAGCAAGTTCGAAAAGAGTCAGTCAGCACAATACATTTGTGAAAGCAGTTTTAATCAGCGGGGCAACACGGTGGCGAGGTAGGTAGTGCTGTCGCCTCACAGCAAGAAGGTCGCTGGTTCAAGCCTCGTGTCAGTTGGCATTTCTGTGTGGAGTTTGCATGTTTTCTCCAGGTGCTCCGGTTTCCCTCACAAGTCCAAAGACATATGATATAGGTGAATCGGGGAACCTAAAATTGTCTGTAGTGTATGTGTGTGAATGAGAGTGTGTGAGTGTTTCCCAGTGATGGGTTGCAGCTGGAAAGGCATCCACTGAATAAAACATGTGCTGAATAAATTGGCGGTTTATTCTGCTGTGGCAACCCTGGATTGATGAGGGGACTAAGCAGAGAAGAAAATGAATAAATGAATGAATTTGGATCAGCATCTTATCAGAGTGGATGAAAAATTGTGATAATTGACTGTTTTTTTAAGAAATGACCACATATGAAGGCCTGATGCTGTAAATTTGGTTTACAACCAATTAAAACTGGAGTAGAAAACAATGTAATCTACAGTAAATAAAAAGTTGATTCGACAAAAGAAAACATAAAGAAGTGTAGCAAATTATGATCAAAGAGCCCAAGAGAGTATACACTAACACCTTTCTGTATCTTTCTGCAGTTGCCAGTAAAAGCTCGGATCAAGATCAAATCATTGATTTTTGGTTACAGAACAGTCACTGGCACTACACCCTCCTACCTCCACCTGCTCCTAAAGGTGTACATTCTCTCCAGGCACCTCTTGTCGGTGAGTGAGTGTTGATCCCATGACAGGCTATACAGTAAGTGACTTTTCAAAACCTTTTCATTTAATGTTCCTGTTCCCACATGAGCTGCATATTTACTCCCTCTCTGAGCACAAATAGTTCCTTTGTATAATTAGCACTTCTTGTGTATGTATTGCCTCTTTATTTATAAGTCGCGTTGGACAAAAGCTTCTAAAAGCTAAACGAGAGAGAGAGATGTCAGGGCGCCCTCTACACCCACTGTGTACTATTGTAAGGTTTGATATTTACTTTTTCACTATATTTTAGACCCGTTCGTGATAATGAAACGATTGTAATGATTACACAAATATTGATTTCTTTATTAGTTAGATAAATAACTATTTAACAAATATTAACAAAAACAAATATGAAAATGTTGAGATTTATGTAGCACATAACAGTGTTGGGATTTATATAGCACATGACAGCTGCACAAATAACGTACATTGTAATATACCTGTACATACTCTTGTCATTTTGTATATTTGCATTCAATATACTTCTATTGTAAATATAATTTATTATCTGTTTTTGTAATTCTGTTGACCTGAAGCTCTGTCATGAAAACAAACTAATCAAACAAATTTCTTGTAAGTTTGAACATACTCTTTCTGAATCTGATAAGAAACTAAACAGATGCCTTTTACATTTGAGACTAGGGGATAATCAGGTTCAGGGGTCTGTGACATCTAAAACACTGAAAAATATTGTATTATTAGAGCAGTGATGCCCAAACTAGGGCCCAGGGGCCAAGGTTGGCCCATAGTAACCTCTGATTTGGCCCATCTGAGAAGAAAGGAAAAATTATGAAGATGTTTCGATATTTTATTGTTAAAAATGAAATTAAATGTTTTAATTAAATGGTGTACATTAATCAGATTTTGTTTAAATGTATACATGCTATCAGCCGTAATGGATGATGAATAAGGTTGATGAAGAATAGTGGGGATGTTTAGTGCATTAACTGAACTTCACTGTGTTTTAAATGTGATAAATGTGATGTGTTATAATTTAAACGAATTTAAGTTCTAATTTAAAAAAGTTATACTGACTTAGTTAATGTGGTTTAAAGTTGTTGTTTTTTTTTTTTAATATGAAATGAAATTTTTAAATATTGTTATATAAATTAGGAAATTGCCCATTGCAACCTTAATTGAATATAGCTTGGTATATTTCCCTTTGGCCCACAGATCAATGATATTTGGATTTGGCCCTTGTTCTGTCGATTTGTCCTACCTTGTCAGATTGTCCTACCTCCCATTTAAAAAGCACATTTTGATGACGCAATATGCTACCCGTCAGATTTTGCTGTCAGTGTAAATTTTAATGTAGAGGAGTGTGAAATTGAGCTGTAATATCACCCTAACCTAATCCCTAACCCCAACCTCAGAACCATTCAATTACAGTGTTGGTAGCATAATCTGATGGGTGCGACAGGCCAATAGGCAAGGGGATGCTCGGGTGGTTTGAAAAACCCGCTCATCACAGACTAAGGTCTAAAGTTTGTCCCATACACAAGCTCATTTGTCCTATTTTGACTGCTATGCCATAATAAATTGTTAAAATAACCATCAAATGCTTTAAGACCAAGCAGAATCCTCTTTTGGCTGTCACTTCAGTGTGAATGAGGAAAGTTGAATGTGCTGGGCAGTTTGTGTTTGCCTAATACATGACAATAGGCCAGTTTTTAATTTAAAACTTGAACAGCATGCTTTTTATCTAATGATATAAGATGCAATAAATTTGTATTTGAAAAAAACAAGTATTATTCTCATACTTTTATTACTAAATCTTAAGGAAATGTTCAATCAAAAGGTGTGGTTGATGACCATCCGACAAGCCAATCCACCAAAAAAAAGTACTTAAAAAGTATTTAAACCTTATGATTAAATAGAAAATGAGGCTAATAACTGCAAAAAGGTCCATATTTTAAGAAAAAAGAACAACCCCTTTCACCACAGGCCTGTTTGATAAAATGTCAGGACACCCTTTTTAAGTTTGGGCACCCCTAGAGAACGCTACTACACAAATTTTACCCTGTTAAAATTTTTTTAACCAGATATATTGAAGACATGGATGTCAATTGTTCATCCTGTTCATATACCCACAAAAAGTACCTCATATTTTCTGGCATTGTCACAAAACGGTTATGGGGGAAGGTATCAAAATTTATAATTGATAAAGGGCTGTCAAATTTTCTTTTACTGTATGAATATGTTATTCATTAATTCATTTTTTTGAAATATGATAAGAAGTTGAAAAATGAAGCTTGTGTGATTAATCTTCTGATCATACCAAGTTTTATTTCCATCGTTGTAAATTTAGCAATAAGAAACCTCTGTTTTTAGTGGTACTTAAAGAACTAAATATTTATATAAGTACCATTAAGGAGAGTACAAACAAAAAAGATGTCAAAGCTGTATACTCGTTTGACTCTAAGTTATTGTCAGTTAGCAAGGCCTAACAATATTTATCTGTAACATTTTTTTTTAAAATCTTTTTTGTATTATTTTGTTTTACCTATTGAGTTCTTGGATCTCTATATAATTTTTTATATACTTTTCATTTTTGTATACCTCTAGCATTGTTCTGTATGTATCGTTATTGCAATGATAAAATAAAAAAATAAATTAAAATAAAATAAACCTAGAGAACGCTTGTCTGCAGGATGTTGCACTGTCTGTATGTGAGCGCCATCTAGTGCTGAAGCGGCGCCATCAAAACCATCACATACACTGGATTTTATTTATTTATTTATTTATTCTTTAATTTATTTATTTTTGTCATCTTAAAGTTATATTTCACCAAAAAAATGAAAATATACTGTTTACTCTCATGTAGCTCCAAACCTGCTAAACACCAAAGAAGATATGTCAAAGAAAGCTGAAAACCTTCAATATTCCGAAAATATGAGCTATGGAACTTAATGGTTGCAGGTTTCCAGCTTTCCAAAAATATGTTTTGTGTGTGTTCAAAAGAAGGTTAAAAGAAGTAAATGATGACAGAATTTTCTTTTTTGTGTGAACTATCACTTTAATAATCTGCTTCAGGTATGTTGGAACTGAACTTTGCATAAATTAAGATCTCCAGGAATGTATTATTATATAACAGGCGAATCACAAGTGTGTCCCATTTCATTTATTGCGCAAAGTATGGGTATTTTCACATTTAACATGTTTAAAGTGCAGACAAGAGCACAGTCAAAGACAAGGACAGAATTATCTGTTACACATTTTCTATTATGCAGCATAAATACATTGAAGAGGCATTATAACACTCATAGAAAAATAGCAGCATAAGGAGACAGACAATCAGGCAGCATCACACGTCAACACCAAACAGGGTGTCTGAATCGATGCAGAAAACACCCTCTGGCCTCTTTATGACATGCTGATGAGGATCACGATCACAAACACAAAGCTGAGTCTTATCACAACATCACAGAATTACAAGACCAAGACTGAGGGAAGAACAAAAAATCATGTCGCACAGATCACATTTAAATACATTGTTTTTATAATGAAAAAAGCTTATAGAATCTCTAATCTCATGTTTGTGATGACTGAAAATCATTCAGGAGTGTTTCACCTGTACTGTATGTGATATATGGAGAAACACTTGTGCACAAATAACATAAATAAAGTATATGCAAGTGTTTATCTTAATTACCAGATTAATCCTTTTAATTCTAATAAGGTGACTGGATTTTGTTTCTTGTCTTTTTTCTCTCTCTCTTTTTATAAATTAGTTAATTTGTTAGTGAGCTTGTATGGAAAAAAAATTAAGTAGCCACAAGTTGTGAACACACATATCTACTGAAATATAAAAGCAATATAATGGACACAGAAGTGTAGAGGGCTTTCTCAAAATACATACAGTTGCTTTACTTATTTTAAATAGACCATTAGCATGTGGGCAATCAGGATCTGTCTGAAACCCAGTTAAATATGTACAAAATATATATTATAGGAGTAGCATCATTAAGCTATAAGTACTAAAATATTTAAAATGACATACATTACAAAACTGTTAACGTTTTAGGGAAATAAACAGTGTTTCCAATAAGCTACCTTATACAGTAAAGTGCTAAACCTGCTTTAAATTAATATAAACATTACACAAGAGTGAGTCTCAGCCTTATAAATACCAAACTATGTGAGAAAACTATAAAAATGGAAACAACTTGCATAGATAAAACTACAAAAGAGTTATTGCAAAAGTGCTGTAATGCTTTCATTTTGATCTTGTGTTTTACCTTGAGGCAGGCAATTTTCTTTAGTTTTGCGAGCAAAATCAAAAGGCTTAAGGCTCCTACCAGTGCAAAACAAATATAATTTCACTCGTCTCATGGTATTACGCATCTCAGCAGAAGAGGATCAACCTCCTGCTGGCTATATTATCCTGTGATTACTGTAGAAATGGCAAAAAAGTGAACAGATCTGCGAGTCAGACTGAACACATTACAATTGCTTAAATTTCTCAGTGGTTTGCAAAAATAAGAATGCAGAAATATGAGTTCAGTCTGCAGGTGAGGAGAAAGCTAAATAAAAAGTGTTGCACAGAATGATTTAGACAAATAGCTACTATTTTAAGTTATCCAGCAACCAGATGATTAAAAGCTCATTTTTAGCGTGTTTATTGGCAGAAAGGGCATCCAGAATACCTTTAGATCTGCTTCAGAGCCAGCTGTGGAAACAAAGAGATACTGAATGCTTAATATTGTTCAGATAAAATTCACTTTACAATAAAAACAAGTAATAATGAATAAAAATGAATAAATAAGTTACGCTGCTTGTTCAATCTACTTATTCAAAATTAGTTGAAACAACTCAATTCTTGAGTTTTTTGGAGGACAACTTTATTGTTTTTGCACAATCCACTCAAATTTGTAAAAAAATAAAAAAATAAAAAATCAGTTACCTAAATTGATTTGTGTTGGGACAATATGAAGAAATTGTGTGAAACCCAGCATTTTTACAGTGCACTGAAAATTTATTGGCTCTACATTAGTTAAACACATTTATAAGTTAGGAGTTTCTTTCATAACTTTAACCTTTTATTCAGAAAAAAAAAACCAGTAAAACTTTTACATTTTTACTGTAATCATGTTTACTGATCAAAAGTTTGGGGTCAGTGGGATTTTTCAACATAATCTCACGGCAATTCGTAACTTGTTGATTTAGTGGCTAATTTGTATGAATTTGTAATCTAATTCGTACAATTTAGTACGATTTGCTCATCCCCCAATGACGGTTGGAGTTAGGGGTGGGGTTTGGTGCCACGCCTCCTTTTTAAAAATAAAACATTTTCGTACAACTGAATTCGTACGAATTAGCCACTAAACTGACAAAACTTAAAATACTTATGTTTTCTCGTGAGATCAGGCTGGATTTTCAAATGTTTTAAAATAAGCTTATCTGCTCTCTAAGTGTCATGGTCCTGACCTTACAGTCTTGTCTGTCCTGTCAGTGTTTAATGTTCGCCTGTTTGTCCTATGCTTATGTACATTGCTGTGTCTTAATTTGTATTGGCCATGTGCTCCTCTTGTCTTTCCTCCTTGCTTTCAGTTACTCCGCCCTCTTATTTAGACCTTGTTATCCTGATTGGCTTCACCTGTTTCTTGTGTGCTTTGTTCTATATAATGTGCTGTGTGTTCTCATTTCTTTGCTGGTTCGTTCCATATGAACTTGTATCCTTGCCTTGCATCTTTACTGAGCTTTTGGTCTTGCAGGTTGTAGTTCACTTGTCTACTTATTATATGTTTGTAGCTACTACTTTCTTTTGTTTGTTACTAGTGTTTACTTAATGCTGTGTTATAATCTCTATTATACTTTTATCCTTAGAACTATTGTTCCCCTTCGGGGGGAACTCCAGCACTATAAGTGGATTTGATTGTAAAATCCACGCATTGGGAGGTTCGGTTCAGAAGCTACTCGTCTGAAAGAGTATTGAACGGGCCAATTAAGAATGAATTGGCAGCGCAAGCCTGTGCAGGTGAGCGGCATAAGCAATCAACTGAGTATATAAGCTCACCTGGCGCCAGCAGACGCTATCCTTTTCGCTTCAGAGCCTTTTCTGATCGAGCTTATGAGGGTTCCTCCTGCTGATCTACAGCCATTTCGAGAGAACGATTTCATCCCGGTCCAGAGCGAGTCCACGCAGCGGCAGACGGTCGAGCTGGGTATCTCACTTGCCTGGCGTCCCTTTGGGTCCGGTCCTCCAAGAGCGGTGCGTATTGTTGCAAATCCTAAAAGAGCAACACAGTCGTGCAGCACGTCCTTTTCAGGATGGCGCTCCGACTGTGCGTTTCTGGTTGCGGGGGTTTCCTGGCTCCGGATGATGGACACGATCACTGCATTACATGTTTGGGGGTCCAGCATGTTAATGTGGTGCTCGGGGGCGGTTCATGTCGTCACTGCGATGCCATGACCGTTGCGCAGTTGAGATTGCGGTTAGCTTTCGTAAGAGAGCGAGCCACCCCAGTTGCCTCCTGCTCTGCAGCGGGCGCTCGGGCAGATCTGAGGGCTTCAGCGAGAGACAATCCGCCGCCCACGGGCTCGCGGACCTCTCGCTCCTCCAAGCGCTCCATCCAAGCTTCGGGTACTGAGAGTGATCCGTCTAATCAGATGGTAGCTCTCACGCTCGCTGACACCGGAGATCAGATGTCCTCCGCGGCATCGGAGGGTGGGATTTTATTGTCCGACGATGATCCGGACCCGCTCGCCCCCTCTGGGCAAGCGAGCGCCGTCAAAACGGATCCTGAAGCGGACATGTTGGCCGTGCTTTCTCGGGCTGCTTCGGCCGTCAGGTTGGAGATGGTTTATCCCCCAGCCCCGCGGCCGGACCGACTAGATGGGTGTTACGTAGAGGATCAGAAGGCGAAGCCTTCGAAGCCTCTCGTCCCCTTCTTCCCGGAAGTGCACAGTAGGCTCACGCAGTCCTGGAGGGCACCTTTCTCTGCCCGCGCTGCGTCCGCCTCCGCCCTCACCACCCTGGATGGTGGAGCTGCCAGGGGGTATGAGGCAATCCCGCAGGTGGAGCGCGCCATTGCGGTCAATCTTTGTCCGCGTGGCACCCCCGCTTTGCGTGGTCCGCCCCGTCTCCCGTCCAAAGCCTGTAAGTTTTCTGCCTCCCTCGGAGCTAGAGCTTACAAGGCTGCGGGCCAGGCAGCTTCCGCCTTGCATGCGATGGCCACCTACCAGCGCTACCAAGTGCAGGCGCTGGCCGAGCTGCATGAGGGTGGGTCTAACCCAGGCTTGTTACACGAGCTGCGTACGGCAACCGACTATGCTCTCCGGACCACTAAGTCCGCCGCCTGCGCACTGGGGAGGACGATGTCCACACTTGTGGTCCAGGAACGCCACCTCTGGCTAAACCTGGCAGATATGCGCGATGTCGACAAAGTTCGCTTTCTTGACGCGCCCATATCCCAGGCTGGCCTGTTCGGCGACACCGTCGGTGAATTCACCCAGGAGTTCAAGGCGGTGAGCGAGCAGTCGGATGCGATGGGCAAAGTCATCTATCGGCGGGGCCGTAAGCCCGCTCCATCCCCGGCCGAGCCATCCACCTCCGCTGTTCCTCGCCGAGGGCGCCCGCCAACGGCCGATGCCCCGCCCCCGCCTCCGGCGAAGCGAGCGCGTCGAGCACGGCGAAAGTCGGTAGCCCCTCCTGCCCAGGGCGCCGCTAAGTCCGGTAAATGGACCGCGAAGCGTTCCTGAGACAGGCCATCCGGAGAAGAGGAGACTTGCTCTTTCCCCGCTGGAGGGCGGGGCCCAAAATCCAACGGTACCTTTCAGTGCCACCAAAGTTTCGATCAAAGAGCATTTTCTCCGTTCCCCGGATGTGACAGCTCAAGCCCCGCCAGTCTGGGACGCGCTGCCTCTCAGCTCGCAGGGCTTGCATGCTCCGCCAGCGGCTCTCGGGCGCTGGGGGGACGGTCTCCCTTCTCCCAGCCCCCAAGCCCCCTCTCAGGAGTCAGGGTGCGGAGCCAGAGCGAAACGCTCTCCTCCAGCTCTTCTGTGGGACCCTCGCGCTCCCCGGATCAGCACACCCGCTCCTCGCTGCCCCTCCGCGGGTACGTCAACGATTGCTGCGATGATGTCTTTAGCGAGGGCTCTGCCTGCCTGGTTAGCGCGGGCCAGCCCCTCGCGGTGGCTCATACGCACGATCAGACTCGGCTACGAACTACAGTTCTCCAAACGGCCTCCCAGGTTTACGGGCGTGTATTTCACCAGGGTCAATCCCCTGTCCGCCCCTGTCTTGCGAGAGGAGATTGCTGCCCTCCTGGCGAAGGGTGCAATCGAGCCGGTACCTCCAGCCGAGATGGAGAGCGGGTTTTACAGCCCGTACTTCATCGTACCCAAAAAGAGCGGTGGGTCACGGCCAATCCTAGATCTGCGCGTTTTGAATCGCTGCCTTCACAAGCTGTCGTTCAGAATGCTTACGCAGAGGCGCATCCTCCGATGCGTTCGTCCTCAGGATTGGTTTGCAGCCATAGACCTGAAGGACGCGTATTTTCATGTCTCCATTCTTCCACGCCACCGTCAGTTTCTGCGGTTTCCGTTCGAAGGTCGAGCATGGCAGTACAAGGTCCTCCCCTTCGGGCTCTCTCTGTCTCCGCGGGTCTTCACCAAACTTACGGAGGGTGCCCTAGCGCCTCTGCGGCTTGCGGGCATCCGCGTACTCAATTATCTCGACGACTGGCTGATTTTAGCCCACTCTCGGGAGCAATTGACTGCGCACAGAGACGAGGTGCTCCGGCACCTCCGCCTATTGGGGTTGCAGGTCAACTGGGAAAAGAGCAAACTCGCCCCGGTGCAGAGGATCTCTTTTCTCGGGATGGTGCTGGACTCGGTCACCATGGTAGCGCGCCTCTCCGGAGAGCGCGCTCGCCTGCTGCTGAACTGTCTGAGGGAGCTCAACAGCAAGTTAGTGGTCCCACTGAAATATTTTCAGAGGCTCCTGGGGCATATGGCTTCCGCTGCTGCCATCACGCCGCTCTGATTGCTCCATATGAGACCACTTCAGCACTGGCTTCAAGATCGAGTTCCGAAACGCGCATGGCATGTGGGCACACACCGAGTCTCTGTTACTGCGCTGTGTCGCCGCACCCTCAGCCCCTGGAACGACCCCTCGTTCCTGCAGGCCGGTGTGCCTCTGGGACAGGCGTCCAGTCATGTTGTTGTTTCGACAGATGCTTCCAGCACAGGCTGGGGAGCCGTGTGTCGCGGGCATGCAGCTGCGGGCCTGTGGGTAGGTGCCCAGCTGCATTGGCACATCAATCGCCTAGAGCTGTTGGCAGTGTTCCTTGCTCTCCGCCGTTTTTCTCCGGCGCTGGGGCAGCAACACGTGCTGGTCAGGACAGAGGACTCTCGCCGCATGTCTCAGCTCGCCCGCCGTCTGCTCCTCTGGAGTCACCCGCGGCTGAAGTCGCTGCGCGCCATTCACATCCCAGGTATGCTCAACCGTGCAGCCGATGTGCTCTCACGGCAGCAGATTCACTCTGGAGAATGGAGACTCCACCCCGAGTCTGTCCAGCTGATATGGGCGCGATACGGGGAGGCCCAGATCGATCTGTTTGCTTCCCCCGAGAACGCTCATTACCAGTTGTTTTATTCCCTGACCGAGGGCTCTCTCGGCACGGATGCACTGGCCCACAGCTGGCCTCGGGGCGTACGCAAGTATGCGTTTCCCCCAGTGAGCCAGTTAATGTGCAAGGTCAGGGAGGACGAGGAGCAGGTTTTGTTAGTTGCTCCCCTCTGGCCCAACCGAACCTGGATATCAGAGCTCTCCCTCCTCGCGACGGCCCTCCCTTGGCAGATCCCTTTGAGAGAGGACCTACTTTCTCAGGGACAAGACACCGTCTGGCACCCTCGTCCCGATCTCTGGAACCTCCACGTGTGGTCCATAGACGCGAGTAAGACTTAGGTAACCTGCCGCCCGCGGTGGTTGATACCATCACTCAGGCTAGAGCCCCCTCCACGAGGCGCGCCTACGCCCTGAAGTGGAGTCTATTCACTGAGTGGTGTGTCTCTCGCAGAGAAGACCCCCGATCTTGCCAGATCAGTGTTGTGCTCTCTTTCCTTCAAGAGAAGCTGGACAGCAAGCTGTCGCCCTCCACTCTCAAGGTTTACGTTGCTGTCATCACCGCTCACCATGAAGCGGTGGCTGGCGGCACCGTGGGAAAGCATAACCTCATCATCCGGTTCCTCAGAGGCGCTAGGCGAATTAATCCAACTCGCCCCCCTCTCACGCCCTCTTGGGATCTCGCACTCGTTCTCACGAGCCTGCGATTTGATCCCTTCGAGCCACTCGATACAGTATCTTTAAGATTTCTGTCCCTGAAGACAGCTCTGCTGGTCGCGTTGGCCTCCATTAAGAGGGTCGGGGACCTGGAGGCATTTTCGGTCAGTGACTCGTGCCTGGAATTCGGGCCGGGATTTTCTCACGTTATTCTGAGACCCCGCCCGGGTTATGTGCCCAAAGTTCCTACCACTCCTTTTAGAGATCAGGTAGTAACCCTGCAAGCGCTGCCCCCGGAGGAGGCAGACCCAGCCCTGTCCTTACTTTGTCCAGTTCGCGCTCTGCGCATTTATGTGGACCGTAGTCAGAACTTTAGATCTTCTGAGCAGCTCTTTGTCTGTTATGGCGGACGGCAGCAGGGAAGTGCCGTGTCTAAACAACGTTTATCCCACTGGATTGTGGAGGCCATTTCATGTGCTTATTTGAGCAGAGGCCAGCCGCGCCCCCCAGGAGTGCATGCGCACTCCACTCGGAGCGTTGCATCCTCTTGGACGTGTGCGCGTGGCGCTTCTTTAACAGACATTTGTAGAGCTGCGGGCTGGGTGACACCCAACAAGGGTGTTAGGTACCTTTGGCGATTGAGGAAACAACTCGGTAGGTGTTGTACACGCTTGCGGTGCCTTTTTTTCCCTAACACGGAGAGATGTGCACCCTCCTGTCTGTCAGTAAAGTTCCCCATTTGGTGAGCCCTGCAGATTCCTCCGAGGCCCCCAGCACTGACTCAGCGGAGGAGTCACTTACTGGCCCATTACGTAGTAGGTCTGCCCGCTGGTCAGCCCGCGTTTTAGGTATAGGTGCCTGCTATGGCCGATCCCCGCTGGTGATCCCCATATGCTTTTTCCGCCACGGTTAAGTTCCCCCCCTGGGCGGACCCGTGCTTTCCCTATCTGCTAACCACCTTCTTATGCGCACTCCCCCTTCTCAGGGTTAGTCCATATGTAATTCCATTTGTTTCCCCCTATTGGGTGCGGATGGTCTCCGCAGCGTCCTCCCTACTGGGATGGCACGCTTCCCAACGTACTGTTGTGTATTCCTAGAATCATCTAGACGCTAGCGACTCCCAAAAAAGATACCTATTCCGTAAAACTTCTTTTGAAGTAGGATAAGTTAGGGCCAAGGGCACGTTGGAGGACCACGCCTCTCGTGATCTGGGTGCGTCACGCTTGCCTGACCGCTCTCTCATGGTGGGTGTTGGTAAGGTGCAGTCATTATGGCGCTTTCAATGGGCTCCCAATGCGTGGATTTTACAATCAAATCCACTTATAGTGCTGGAGTTCCCCCCGAAGGGGAACGTTCGAGGTTACTAAAGTAACCCTTCGTTCCCCGAGGAGGGGAACGGAAGCACTATACTCCGTCACCATATTGACTGTCCATTAGCTGTTAAAAGTCTCTTCAGCTTAAAAAGGATAGCGTCTGCTGGCGCCAGGTGAGCTTATATACTCAGTTGATTGCTTATGCCGCTCACCTGCGCAGGCTTGCGCTGCCAATTCATTCTTAATTGGCCCGTTCAATACTCTTTCAGACGAGTAGCTTCTGAACCGAACCTCCCAACGCGTGGATTTTACAATCAAATCCACTTATAGTGCTTCCGTTCCCCTCCTCGGGGAACGAAGGGTTACTTTAGTAACCTCGAACGTTTTTGTTTTGTTTTTTCCTCTCTGTCATTCCCAGTCTTCCTAGTAGTTGATTATTAGTTGGTGGAGTTTTCTTGGCCTGCTTCAGGATCTACGGTAGCTCTGGTTTTGACCACTGTTGCTCCAACTCTTGGCTGGCTGTTCATTTTAGTACTTGTCACTACCACTGGCTTCCCTGTGTTGTTGCCTCTACCGTTTGGACCTTGTCATCCCCTTGTGAGTCTACTTGTGCCTTATTCTGTCAATAAACCCCTTTGTATAGTTCATTGCTTCAACCGGGTCCGTTTTCTTGCAATCCCATGTGACACTAAGGCTGCATTAATTTAATCAAATCACAGTACAAACTCACGGTAAACTGTACACTGTAAAATGGTAACTTCTATTTGAAATAACTTTAAAAGTAGTTCATCATTTATTGATTTTAAGATGAATTTTCAGCTTTATTACGCCAGTCTTCAAAGTCAGATGATCCTTTAGAAATCACTTTAATATTAATTATTGTTAAAATTATTGTAAAAATAAAATAAATATTTTATTGGAAAAGAGTTATTAAAACTATTATATTTAAAACGTGTTGAAAAATTCTTCTCTCCGTTCAACAGAAACTGGGGAAAAGAATTAACAAGCGGTCTAATAATTCAGGGGGGATAATAATTCTGACTTCAACTGTATATGAAAAAAGACTCTGACCTCAAACTTTTGATGGTAGTGTAAATTATTGTACATATTTTTAACTATTCTTAAAAATGCTTTTCAGCAATTAAAAATGTTTTATTCAATTGTTACCAGAAATGTGTCATTATAATAAAATACATTGTAATGGTTTAAATGGATACATTATATAAACGCTTATATCCTTATACAAACTACTTATAAAATTGAAGTCTGTGCAGCTTAAAATGCCTTATGCCAACTCGGGAATGAGAGTTTTACTTAGAAAACCAATAGTCATTTTGGAATAAATAAATAATTTTTTTTTTTTTTTTAAATGACCAGTCATTTTGCTATTACATTCATTTATTGAATTGGCATCATTTAGAGCCCTTAGAAGCTGCACAAAAACAGCTGTTTTAAGACTTTTTTTTTTTAATAATCATGAAGTTTTTTTTAAATGAAATTTGAAAGAAAACTTTGATCCTTCAAAATGTCAAAAATAGGTAGACTGAAACAAAATGGATTAATTCTAAAGAGATACAACAGTTTTATGAAATGTTTATATATAACTTAGGATTTTAGCACAATAAACTTCTAATTAGCTCTTTATTATTAAACATTATTAATAAACAGCCAATATCTTAATAACAGGCAGATAATGAACCACTAGTTAATAGTGAGAATTGATTCCTATACTAAAGTATCAGCCAGTTATTTTATTTTATTCTTAAAATAACTTTTTTTTTTTTTTTTTTTTTTTTTTTTTTTTACCAGAGCAAGGAATTTTTCAGTCTTTCCTATAATATTTTTTTCTTCTGGAGAAAGTCTTATTTGTTTTACTTTAGCTAGAATAAAAGCAGATTTTAATTTTCTGAAAACCATTTTAGGGTCAATATTATTAGACCCTAGCAATATTGTTTTCTCAGTTGTCTACAGAGCAAACTATCATTATACATTAACTTGACTAATTACCCTAACCTGCCTGTTTAACCTAATTAAGCCTTATAAAAAAATATGTTGAAAAAAATATTTTTCTAAACAGAAATTGGGGGAAAATATACAGGGGGCTAAAATTTAGGAGGCCTAATAATTCTGAAAATAAATATATGAAAATGAATATGAATATACAGTGAATGAGTGTTCTGATCAGCTCACCCTCTGAGCAGCCTCTGCAAAATGTCTGGCCCCGTGCAGCATGTGGCTGGTCTTGTCGTCAGCCTTCATCAGACGCTCACCTCGCTCACTCAACACTTGACTGGCCCTCCGCATCACATTCCCCATCTTTCTCACTGCTGGAGGAGATGGACTGCTCTTGCTTCTGCTCCTGGAGGATTTACCTGCTGCTGTAAAAATCACCAGAAACACATGCAAGTATTACTATAGCTTACAAAAATGCTCTTTATTTGATGTATCATGTGATGCATGCACACTTAAAGACACACACAACTTTAAAAGACATATACAAGCACTACACAGTTTAAAACAACCCTGGCTCACTGGAAATGTCCACCACTGCCTACATTTTTGCAAACCGTAATTTATTTTAAACCGTAATTTATAATTAATTTTCTTTTCGGCTTAGTCCCTTTATAAATCTGGGGTCGCCACAGTGGAACGAACCGCCAATTTATCCAGCACATGTTTTACACAGCAGATGCCCTTCCAGCTGCAACCCATCTCTGGGAAACATCCAAAGACACTCACTCACAATCATACACTACAGACAATTTAGCCTATAATTCACCTGTACCACATGTCTTTGGACTGTGGGGGAAACCACTGAGAGGAAACCCACGCGAATGCAGGGAGAACATGCAAACTCCATACAGAAACGCTAACTGACCAAGCCAAGGCTCAAACCAGCGACCTTCTTGCTGTGAAGCGACAGCACTACCCACTGCGCCACTGAATCGCCCAACTCTTATTCACTGTTGTTACTTTCCTCTTTTGTCTCTAATGCAGTCATTAGCATTTATTTTCAGCTCTAAGTTCACCTTCTAGCCAACAGCAGAACAGCACCTACCGGGTAGGTGCGGTATAAAGATAATAAAGTCTCATTTGGTTTGGTCAAATTTGGACCACAATGTGGTTAGCTGCGCTTGTTTGTCTACGAATGCTGTCCATCTCATGCATTCTTTATCATTACATGATTTCTTATAACAAAAGCAGGAATTTTTTAATGCGCATACTGGAATTTATGTTGTAAAAGTGTTTCCATCAATGCAAATATGTTGTTTTAAATGCATTTACAACATCTCTTCACCTTAGAATTATAGAATTATCTTATAATTTTTTTCAAAATTAAGTTGGCATATTCTTATTAAATGACAACTTATTTACATTATGGAATGTTTTCTTTTTTAAGTTGTTTACATTTTAATACTTTTTATTTAAAAAAAAACAAATGTTACACACATACTGTTTGCTATGAAATGCAAAAACTTTGAAACTCAATATCTCAAAGTCATTCAGAACACAGATAGAACCTTATAATTCCAAGGTGACGATTTTATGCGCATCTTGTTTCCATCAAGCATTTTTTATGCAATAATCCAAAATGTGCATAAAATATATGGATGGTAACTTAACTTTCAATAGTATATACTCCACAGTATGCTGAACACTATTGTGTTTTGGACATCCTGAGTACGCCCCAGAATTTTCTTTTTGGTGCGTAAATATTTGCATGAATTTTGCATTTACCATTATTATGATAATTTTTGCATATATGGTACAGTCCTTCACTAATGTATGAAGTGATTCTCCACAGGTTTCATTTTTTGTATTTTTTAATTGGAGCACCTTCAGTAGTGTTTGGACTCTTCAGTGTATGGACTCTCAGTAGTGATTATTAAACCACACCGAACTGAGGTGAACTGAACTGAACTTAAACTCTGAAAAACTGAACTGACACTGTTTCAATTTACTATGATTTTTCATGTGAAGCTGCTTTGACACAATCTACATTGGAAAAACGGTTTACAAATAAAGGTGAATTGAATTAAATTGAATAAAAGCGTCCAAAAAGAGATCCCAAACTATCATGCGCATTGACCCAGAGACTGTTTAGATGCATGTCGCTGAAGAGAAGATGACAGATGTTTACTTTATGTTGCTTGAATTGGCCTTAAACACCCAGCTGGCAACTGGGTGATGTTCAAGATGATGTCAAATTGATGTTGTACACCAACGTTGTAGGAACGTTGTTTGGAAATTAAAATCGGGGTTGATGTCAGAACCCAATGTCAGGCTGACATCAATGTCCAATATCCAACCTAAAATCAATGTCTAATGATATTACAGCTTGACTAGTGTGGACTCTAGCACTATGACGTTTATTAGACCTTGGATCGTGGTAGCCATACCTGACTAATAAATGTCAGTTTATGACATTAATATGACGTTTGTTTAAGATGTTGACTTAACGTTAGATTTTGTACAGTTTCTAACACAACCTAAAATCAACCAAATATCAACATCATTTGATGTCATTATTAGACATCAAACTAACGTTGTCCTTAGACACTGGTTAGACATTGCATTTTAGTCACCTGACATAACCTAAATCTAACCTAATATTAACTACTTATGATGTTGCGTGTCTGGTGGGCAATAACTAAATGCACTACAGAATGTTACGCTCACACACATCTACAAACTACATGTACATGCATCTGTAACACTTTACAATAAGGTTCATTAGTTAATGCATTTACTAACATGAACTAATCATGAACAACACATGTACAGCATTTATTAATCACAATTGAACATTTACTAATGCATTATTAACATTTAAGTCCATGCTTGTTAACATGAACTAACAATGAACAACTGTATTTTTATTAACGTTTATTAACATGAATAAATACAGTAGTAAATGTATTGTTTATTGTTTGTTTATGTTATTAAATGCATTACTTAACATTAACTGATGAACCTTGTTGTAAAGTGTTATCAATGCATCAGCCATTTACAGCATAATACTCACTACTCTTGAGTAATTTTGAAAGAGCTACATTTAACTCATACTTTAAGTAATATTTATATCAGATACTATTACTCTACTTTTAGGCAAGTATTATTACTGAAGTTTGATTTTTAAGTACTCTTTCCACCACTGATAATCATTAATATGACAATGTGTTGTGTGCTGGTTGTCAATGTTCTGCAGAAAGTGTCTACAGTGAAAAACACAATTCCGCATTTCTGAACTCACTAATTGCGAAAAAACAGACATGAACTCTGAGGTGTGGATCATTGCATCGAGCGCCTCTAGAGCAGCTTGGCACGTCTCCCATTCATTACACACCATTCATCCATGATCTGCAGTGAAGGCTGGTGCCACTTCACTCATCTCCGCTCGTCTCCCCCGCCTCAACGCCTGTCTTTGTGTCCCTGCGCCTGCCTTCATCAGAACAAAGTGGCCTCTGAACTAATCTGGCCCTCGCTGCAATGGAACCATTCTCTGGCTTTGCTAAGAGATCTATCAGAAATGCTACAAACAACCAGCCGACGACAGGCCCACAAAGAGCCTTCTCTTCCTGCCTGGAGCTTGACTGATCTGACCCAACACCAGCAGACAGACAGCACAGGATGCAAATCCACACAATCCCTTAAAAATTTCAGTTATAATAATTTATTTATGGGTTGTGTGATGTGAGGCTCATTTATACAATTCTGTGAATATATTTTAATCAATATTATCATTATGAAACATATTATTAAATGCGTTCTGAAGAAATTATGTTAAATGGTTACAATTATAAATTAAAGTAATTTGAATTCTAACATTTCTAAATTAATATTAACCAAATTGTTATTCTTATAATAATAATAATAATAATAATAATAATAAAAATTATTATAATAAGTATTATTATTATTATTATTATTATTATTATTATTATTGCTGTTATTATTATAGTAGTATTTATATAATTGTTTGTATATCATTATTCATATCATATGTTAATGATATACATAATAATGATAATAATGACATAATAATAATGATGATATGTATATCATTATTACTTAATATTAATATTATTAATAATAATTATTATTATTGTTAATCTTAGTATTATTATATTAAAATTTATATCCTTAAACAATTATATAAAATGTAATATATATATATATATATATATATATATATATATATATATATATATATATATATATATATATATATATATATATATATTAGTATTTACACTACTAATTATAGATGAAATTATTGTACTACTACTAATAATAATCATACATATTTTTACTAATAATTATTATTAGAACGTTTTAGAACATTATTATTTAGGGAATGTATTATTATTGATAGTGGTAGTGGTTATATTTAGGAATATTACTAAAATGTAAAGATTCTTTACGAAATGTTCAAAAACATATATTTTCTATGTAAAATTATTATTATTATTAATGTTGTTGTTGTTATCATTAATAGCAATCGTTGTTGTAGTAATAGTAGTATTTGATTAGTATTATTGATTTGTTTTTAAAAAAAAATTGTTTTGCTTGTCAACAGCAACTTGTTTTTATTTTTTATTTGCAAAACATACACAGCAATTTGTCTTTTCTTTTTCAATTCAATAAAAATCCCACCTACCTTCACGCTGACGCCGATCTTGGTTTGCAGTCATACTGGTCTTCATTCTATTCAAAAATATCTTGCAGCGGTAGATGACCATATTAACAGAGCATGCATCTAAAATATGAGGAATAAAACAGGCTTTTCTCAGATAGACTCACCATATTAGGCTGTTGAAAGCTTGATTCTAATTGGCTAATGAGCATTTTATGGTCTGTATTAATTAACAAAGCCAAAGAAGTTCCAGGCAGATCTTGACCACAATACAGTTCCGTATCAGTACGCTGAATGATTTTAGTAATTTCAGGCAGTTATTCCACTAAATACACTATATAAAATAAATAAATTTTATTAAACATTGAATAAATCAGATTAAAACGTGACAGAAGACTTGAAGACAGAAGACGAGATGCGTAATAAAATAGTTCTACACACAAGAGCTGTTTGTGGACAAATATCACCTAAACACCTCAACAGTGGTGTGTTCAGCATAGTAGAAGTGGAATAATTAACTGTAGTCCCTAGAATTATTACAAAATATTGACATTTTTATCACAATCTTAGGCATGCATTATTGTCTAATAACTCAATGACCATCATCACACTGTAAATTAATTCTTCCTACCTTAAATTTCTTAATTGAATCAAATGAACTTTTCTAGTCATCTCAACTTACAAAAATAGTTATTGTAAAAAGTGCTATACAAATACACTTGAATTGAATTAAAATCAGTCAAACTGACCAAAAATATTACATTAAACTTTGTATAGTTATTATTATAATAATAATGATAATAATAATAATAATAATAATAATAATAATAATAATTATTATTATTATTATTATTATTATTATTATTATTACAATTATTATTATTATTATTATTATTATAGAAGTAGTAGTAGTAGTAGTAGTATTTATATTATTAATACTTAATCATAACATTATTATTATTATTATTATTATTATTATTATTATTATATAGTTAATTATATCATTAAACAATTAAAAAAATGTAAATAATATAAATATATTGCTATTATTATCACTACTAATTATAGATGAAATTAGACTACTAATAATAATAAATATTATTACTAATAATTATTATTAGAATATTTTAAAACACTATTATTTAGGTCATTGTTAATGTATTATTGATGAATAAACATATAATTAGCCAAACTGACTAAAAATATTATGCTTAACTTTGTACAGCTAAAAAAAATTGTTAAAGCCTGATGAATTAATTTAATTAAGTAAAAAGCATTTGTTGTCATGACTTTTTGTCAGATCATTTTTACAGTGCAATTATTCCTCAGATATTAAATCTGCCTTAAGGTCACTACTGGCATCCAATTTTGTGAACTCACTGACCTCCCATCAGCTTCGGCTGGCAGTTGATGAAGTTGGTTTGGTTTGTTGCAGCAGGGCTCTTCTTGCTCTCCACAGCTCCTGGTGTCTTCTGGCCTCCAGGGGATGTTGGTTTTTCCTGGCTGAGCTTCGCCTCCCAGAAGTTCTGACATGCATGGTACAAAACCTGCACAAACATGCACTTCTCTGCGGCTGAGCTGGCCTCCCATTGGTCGGTGGTGCGGTCGAACACTAGGTCAAACTCAGGAGTGTCCTGAAAGATTGTTTAAGCAAGTCAAAACAACAGAACATACTGGGTAACATGAGCTGAGTTTAGCAGGATGATGCTCGCCTTATCAGGGTTGATGCCATTGACCTGGCGAAGCTGCTCCACAGACCACTGAGATCTTTTAGCATACTGCCGCGCGCCTTGGAATTTCTTCACTTTAGTGATGAAGACTTTAGCTGGTCTGCTGTTGGTGACTGCATGAAAACATCAAGTCCATCATCTTCAAGAAGTTCTGATTGCAAACTAATGGACCTTTTCCAAACTCAGCTGTTTGGATCTCTGAAAAGGCTGGGTTGCTTAGAGTCAGCATAATCAATCACAATGTGCTCTTGATTTTATATGTATTTACTAGCGCTTGTTATAAAGAATGCACTGTATCTTGTATCTTCATTATCTTATACAAATCTGAATCTTTAATCAAATGCCATAACCTTCCCTTCACCTTCGAAAGGACTTTTCTTTATTTCTGGTCACATGGAATGGCTTTAGGGCGGAGCTATCAGGGCATGTCTTGATTTTGTCCATTCATCAATCTCCCTCCATTTGGTTATCAATGCCCACTTTCTATTATCCAATCAGATCATCAGATCAAGTCATGCACCACCCTACATTTTCTTTCTCATTTCAGGACCGTTTCCATTGGGTGTATATTGCAATATGAGAAAAAAAGACAATCTTAACTTCTGTTTCTTTACCAAAGATGGGTAAAATATGGACATATTCAACGGCTGGGTTCAAATATATTTACTTTTTTTTTTTCAAACATTAACAATTATTTTAGAGTGTACTTTAGAGTAAACGAAGAGACATATTACCTGACAAGCAGAGGAAAGTCAAGTACTTCTTATTGCGCCCTTTGAGGGAAAGTCCCGTCCTCTTCATCCTCCTCCTCACCTCAATGGAAACCAGTAACTTTTCATCTCTTGGGACAAAAATCTCACGACTGATGGCTGACTGAATGTTCATCTTCAAAATGCCTTGGAAATCAATATCAACAATGACTTTTGTGTTGGAATCGACAACTTTGTTTCTTTTTAAAAATCATTTAACATAATTGATTGCAAAATCATTAAGTGAAACACGCTCTGTACTTTTGCTTGCTTCAAAGAAGGTAAATACACACAAATCCAACATTGGGTTATTTTATTTATATATTTATAAATAAAAATTAAGCATTTTAATTATGTACCAAAAATATTTTGATTGTTATAATTTCAAACTTTCGAAACATCTAACAATTTTGAAAAATGAATCACCGTTTCCACAAAAAATGCAGTTTTCCACTTTTATAATAATAAAAATGATTTTTTGACTTGAAATTCAGCTTTTTTTCAAATAATTAAATTATGTTTATAGAAATAATTTAATAAAATGCTATTTTAAGGTATTTTATCATATTTAATCATAATTATAGTTTTTATAATGACTACTTTTTTCATTTTAGTTAAATTGGTCATCAAAACCTGAATTAGAGGTCTTGATTGATACAGATTAATTTTGTGATCCCTTAATAACTATTTTTGGACCTTCTAAAGTTTTTATTAAATTAACTTTCAGTGGAGGGACAGAAACCTTTAAACATGATCAATAATAATAATAATCTTAATTTTGAAGATGAACTTATGTCTTATGTGTTTGCAACCACATGAGGATAATTATAACTTTTCCTTTAAGATAAATTGTCATCTTAGAATAATAAGGTTCTATCTGACATTTTTGTCAAAATTGAGTTGACATAATTATTAAATGACAACTTGTTTACATTATGGAATGTTTTTTTTTAGTTGTTTACATTTTTAAGAATTTTTATCTATAAATAAATAAATACAAATAAATAAAAAAATGTTAAACACATACTGTTTGCTTTGGAATGCAAAACCTTTGAAGCTCAATATTTCAAAATCATTCAGAAAGCAGATAGAACCTTATAATTCCAAGGTGACGAAATGTGGATACTTAAAATAACTTTTATTTTTGGGTTGGGTTATCTTTAAATAAATTAAAAATCTAGCATTTTGTCTTAATTTACTCTTCCTCCACTTGTTTATTTGTTTATTGTTTATTTCAAATTAATGTTTATTTCAAATCTGTTTATTTTTTTATTTATTTATTTTTTTTTTATATTTCGACCTCTGACTTCCATGGTATTTTTCCTATAGATTGTCAATTGCTACTGGCTTCCAATATTCCTTCAAAAAAAAAAATAATAAAAATAAATAAATAAATTAATTAAAACAAAGAGAAACTCGTAGAAAATTGGGACATTTTGAGAGTGAGCAAACAAAATGTAAACTTTCATTTCTTTAGGGAACTATCCCTTTAAATTTGACCCCTATAAGAATTACAAATAAGTATACATTATTATTATTATTATAACTTTTTTTTTTTTGCTAGTTAACATTAGCTCTTAATTTTTTCCATCTCAGACCAACTTCTATTTATAAAACCACAAATAACTTTGAATAAGCAGATACATCTACAGACCTTCTGCTTGATCTTCAGTCGATTTCTTCCTTCCTGGAGCCCAGATAAGCAGTGAGAAGTTTGCAGCAGATCAGTGTGTCAGCACCTCAAGCCATCTTTATCCCGCACAGAGTCTAATGAAAGTCCTCTGGGCGTGTGGAAAGACCCGGAGAAAACCCAGAGGCTGTGTGCTTTGTCCTAGTGAACTCCCCACTGAGACAGCACTATGAGGATCATAAATGCATCTGAGCCCGCTGTGGTCTAGGTCAGCAACTAGAATATGAGACAGAGCCACAGACACACACACAGAGAGAGACACACAAAAGAAATTGGATTGCCATTGACTTTATATAAATTAGACTTTAAAAGCTAAAAGACAGTTGTAGGCATGTGGTAGCCAAACTTTCTGTATTAATAATTTTTTTTTTCTTAAATATTTTCTGGAATTTGAGCAATTAAACAGCCATTATAGACCGAATATAGTTGGTAGACAGATAGACATATAGATATTTTACTTTCATGGGACTTTTAGGGGAAAAAAGCTACTTAGCCATGTGTGAAAAACACAATTAGTGCCACATCTTATTAGTCACTTGAAATCACTTGAATAGGACCTGCCTGACACAATGAAGTAGACCAAAAGATCCTCAAAAGATAGATGGACAGACAGATACAGACGGACGGAGAGACAGACCGATAGATAGATAGACAGACAGACAGACAGATAGATAGATAGGTAGGTAGATAGATAGATAGATAGATAGATAGATAGATAGATAGATAGATAGATAGATAGATAGATAGATAGATAGATAGATAGATAGATAGATAGATAGATAGATAATGTACAAACATGTCTCATTTTCTATCTAGACCAATAGGGAGAGTTTAAGACTTGGCTGTAGAATATGACTGAGTCAGGAACCGTTTTTCAGCAAAGAGCCATTTTAGATTTTTTTTGGCAAATGCATTTTTATAAAGAGCCATTGGGGATATATATGAGGCAATACATGTTGAGCAAGTCCATGTATTAAGAAAGGACAATTTATAGAATTTATTTATTTACAGTATTTTCGCCATCATGAATGTTGTTTGAATTAACAAGTGCAAGGTTACCATTGAAATGTAAGTTGCATGCCCTTTATTGGTGTCCTTTTAATCTTATTCAAGTTAATCCACAGCGAGGCACACGCATTGGTTGAAACGTTCTTTTAATCTTATTCATTTTGCTGTAAAAAATACAATAAAAAGGTCATTTTAAATGTATTTTCAATAGGAAACTGATTTTTAGTGACAGTTAAAAATTTTTATTGATGGTAACCACATGTGGCTCCCGACCCATAGGTTCCCTATCCCTGATTTAGCTAGTGTGAAACAATGACTGAGTCAGAATCACCTCCAATTTTGAGGCCATGGTGCTCAACTGGAAAAGAGTAGCTTGTCTTCTCCATGTTGGATGAGAGTTCTTGCCTTAGATAGTAGAGTTTCAGGTTTTTGTTCCCAGGTGAAAGAAGAATGCAACGTGAGCTTGACAGATAAAACGGTGCAATGCCAACAGCAATCCAGTTGATACTAGTTTGTTACAGTAAAAATGTAGCAAAAGCTCTTTGTTTAACAGTCAATCTAAATTCTATAGTCTGACCTATGGTCGTGAGCTTTGGAACATGACTGAAGGACAAGATCTCGGATATCCCTCAGAAGGAGGCCCCAGGAAAGACCCAGGACATGCTGCAGGGTGTACGTCTCTCGGCTTTGCCTAGGAATGCCTTGGGATCCCTCCAGGGGAGCTGGAGGAAGTGTCTGGGGAAAGGGAAGTCTGGTGCTCCTTGCTGAGACTGCTGCTCCCCACAACCCACCTTTGGATAAGCAGTAAAAATGGATTAATAGGTTTATTTATTTATTTATTTTTTTGCACAGACCTTGTGAGAAACTTTTTATTCATTCATTTCAGCTTAGTCCTTTTATTAATCAGAGGTCATCATAGCAAAATAAACCTGGCAACTTATCCAGCATATGTTTTACGCAGCAGGTGCGGTTCCAGCTACAACCCATTACCGGGAAACACCCATACACTCTCATTCATACACATACAGAAAATTTAGCTTACCCAATTTACCCATACCACATGTCTTTGGACTGTGGGGAAAACCGGAGCACCCAGAGGAAACCCACGCCAACACGGGAAGAACATACTCCACAAAGAAATGCCAACTGACCCAGCCGGGACTCAAACCAGTGACCTTCTTGCTGTGAGTGGTTAGCTAACCACTAAGCCACTGTGTTGTTTAGAAACGTTTTAGTGTAAGTTAAATAATAGTATACATTTCTTGGCAAAAGGTAAATACTTGCTTATAGGACATGTATTTTGTTTTACAATTTTGCAACAGTTGCTTATCAAATAATTTAAAATACAATAATTCAAATTTTATCATTCATTGTGGACCGCAAAACAAACATTAAAGTGATAGTTCACACAAAACTGAAAGCTCTGTCACAAACCTGTTAGAATTATTTTATTATGTTGACCACAAAAGAAAACATTGTTTAAATGTTGCAAACCAGTAACCTATGACATACCTGTTTTTCCTACCATGGAAATTGCTGGTTACCAGTAACATTCTTCAAAATATCTTCTTTTTTGTTCAAGAGAAAAGAATACTCATAATGGTTTGGAACCATTTTAAGGAGTAAATAGTGAGTACATTTAATTTTTTGGGGCAAACTATCACTTATTTCTAAAGTTGCACACACAAAATGAAAAAATAAAAAGTAGAAGAATGACAATTGGGGCATCACAATGGTGCAGTGGGTAGCATGATCACCTCACAGCAAGAGGGTCGCTGGTTAGAGCCACGGCTGGGTCAGTTTCCGGGTGCTTCCGTTTACCCCACAGTCTAAACACATGCAGTTGTGAACTGAATAAGCTAAATTGGCCGAAGTGAGTGTTAAGGCAAGAGTGTGTATGGGTGTTTCCCATTGTTGGATTGCGGCTGGAAGGGCATCCACTGCGTAAAATATATGCTGGATTAGTTGGTGGTTCATTCCGCTGTGGTGACCCCTGATGTATAAGGGACTAAGCCGAAAAGAAAATGAATGAGAATTGCAACATTTTTTTTCAATCTAGCCAAGTGTCTTATTAGGCAATAAATGTGTACACTTAGAATTTTCACACCCGCTGCAAGACTTGGACAAAATACAGTACATATGATGGAATTAGTATATCAGTCAAATGTATTGACCTCAAATGAGGGTCATGTAAGTGCACAGTGTTTCTTTAAAAAGTGTCATCGCCATCTAATGGCCTGACATAAATAATGCAGCTTTTAAAATAGTGTTTGACAATGTAATTATCTGTAGGTAGGCGAAACATTTCACTAACGCAATGAAAAAACTTTTCCGTTTTTAGTGCATCATTGTCAAGTATAAATGAACCCTAAGTGTACATACTAAGAGTAGCTGTTTATTGAATCATAACCCCCCATTTGAGAACAACGGCTCTAGTGTACACATTTGATGACTCATTGTGTTCGGCTAAAGCTAAATTACGCCTCAGAGATGAATGAAGTTGAACTGTGTTGTTTTACATTCCATCAACGTCCACAGCAACACTATTTACTAAAGTCAAAACAACTAAAGAATAAGTCAATACAGGCGGTCAATATCAATTTTAATGAAAAACACGAGGTTCATAAAAGAGGAACAGCTCGGTGTCGACTGAAGCTAAACATGAAAAGACGCTGGAGTCCAGTTCTGATATGTGCACCTCCCGCTGAAGACTGGCCTATTAAACACCTCACGTCGGCTAAGTTTATTGGCACATCCAAGGGTGAGGTAAGGAGAAATGTTAAGTGCTTTTCTCTCGTCATCATAAAGGCATGGGGGTGTTGCTTTGCAGGATTATTGTAAACAAATCATACAAAATTATTACATAAAACATGGACGTAACACAAAATGAGGGTTATTTCAAAATGGCAAAATGTGGTGCTGTAAAACATTACAAAACAACTAGTAACACATAACAACATGTCAATGACATAAAAGAGAATGAAAAATGTTAAGTGAGTCGACATGGAAAGAAAGAGGAGATCCAGTTGTAGGGATTTTAGTCTAACAGCTTCAGTGGAAAACATCCTGACTTTCTCTTTCATGCATGTTAAAGCATAAACTCTTAATTCATGGAGATCATAGCAAAGAGAGTGCATTCAAATATGCAGTAAATAAATATGCAGTTTAAGTGTCTGTCATGCAAGTTTAGAGGAGAAATAATGCCTCAATATATCAGAAAAAGACAAAGGAACAAGACTGCAAAGTCTTTAATGTTCACCCAAAAAAATAAATAAATTCATTTTTTCTCTACGGTGTTTCAAACTCATTTCTTCTAATGAAAACAAACTCAGAGTTTACAGATTTCCTAAGTGGTTGTTTTTGCTGTACTCAGATCTCAGATTCAGTCAGTTGAGCTTGGATCACTCTTGTATGCTGTCTTTAACCTCATCAATTGAATATATTTGACTCAAATAAAGGTTCCTTTATAAAATATACATTTGTTATGATTTATCTTGACTAAAAAACAAGAGCTCGGGCGAATGACAGCATTTTAGGAAAGAAATATGTATAATGTAGTTGTTTTCTCACGTAAAGTCTAGAATATTTGACCTTTTATGAAACAAAGTCTCAACAAGTGTTTGTTAATATTAGATAAAACTAAAACAATAAACAAAATTGATAGCTGAAATAAAATTAAATAATTGTTGTACTAATAAATGAAATAATTCAAGTACTAAAATACTAATTAAAAACTAAAACATATAAAAAGTATATTTAAATGACAAAGACTCACAGCAAAATGGCTAATATATATATATATATATATATATATATATATATATATATATATATATATATATATATATATATATATATATATAAAAATAAACACTGTAATTGCCATCATTGCTATCCACAATAATGGATAATATTCAAATTTACCTAATGACAGTTACAATTTATTTCTGCTATGTAGCTCCTCATTTGTTTCACTGAAGAAGCATGGATTTGAAACAGCGTGAGGGTGAATAAATCATGCCAAAGCTGGGTGAATTTTTGGATGAACCTTATCATTTACTGATGCTTAGTTTTTCATCAGGTCTATGTGCACTTGCTCCCATTGACGCTCTGCTCAACATTTTGCCGTCTAATTATTGTAAACATATATTAATGCTTAATTTATATATATATATATATATATATATATATATATATATATATATATATATATATATATATATATATATATATATATATATAGAATAAATAAAAACAAAATAATTAAAACTATAAATTTTTTGGCAAGGAAATCAATCACATCAGACACATTCCTCTAAAAACCCCTCTGATTGTGCAATTCAGTTGAATTCCTCCAATTCAGTGAGCCATACCATAATAAGTTCATACACATCGGTCAATATGAAAAGTTTGCTGCTTTTGGGAAACGTCAACGTGTGAATGGTCGGAAGTTACTAGTAGGATCATTAACACCGTTTCATCAAACAGTCCTAGTTGGGGGACGTAGAGGAGAGTGTGAGTCTCCTCGATGGATGTGCTTCTGAATGAAGAAAAAACAAGACAAGGACAGGATCTCTGATGCACAGTGAATGAGGTCTGCTAAACTAAATTAGGAGGGTGATTGAGGGTGAGAGTTTGTCTGTGAGTGTGTGTTAGGATTCGAGATTGTCCTCTGCCATGTCATTGGCTTCGTTTGGCCTGTACAAGAACGTCAGCAGAAACAGAGCCACGTCGTGCGAGCACCAGTAGGCCGTGTGTGACGTTACTGCTGACCAGTAGCGGCTCTCCACCAGACCCTCCCGCAGCTCAAAGTCAATGCGCTTCTCCAGCTCCACTGCAACACAGGAACAACAAAGATTACATAGAGGCCTGGAGATAATATAGTCATAATTTTATCCCGGTGTGTACGAGCCTTTAGGTGGCACATCAGCTAAGTGGTTAGCACAGTTGCCCCACAGCTAAAATGCCACTGGTTCAAGTCCAAGCTGGATTAGATGAACTAAAAATTGTCCGTAGTGTGTGTGGTTGTTTTCCCTCAGTGCTGGGCAACACCCACACACACTATGGCCACTATGGTTGTGGAAGAAAGGGCATCCGTATCACAAAACATACACCAGAGGGATTAGTGGTTCATTCCACTGCGGCAACCATTATTGAAGCAGGGAATAAGTTGTAGGACATTGAGTAATAAAATGTAAAGCCACTTTTTTAGCTTGGCAACTAAGGGCTCTATTTTAACAATCCATGTGCAAAGTGCAGTGCGTAGGGTGCAAATGCTTTCAGGGTGTGTCAGAATCCATTTTTGCTAATATAAGGATGGAAAAATCCACTTTGCGCCGTGGCGCATGATCTAAAAGGGTTGAGCTTATTTTCTAAATGAGTTATAGGTGTGTTTTGAGAATAAACCAATCAGAGTCTTATCTCCCATTTCCTTTAAGAGCCAGTTGCGTCGCGCCATAGCCCAATTGCTATTTACATGACGTAAAGTAAGTGGAAAAACTGAAGATTTCGGTTGCAAGAAAACAGTTAAACAGAGCATCTACAGCGAGAGATAAGGCCTCTCATAATCTACTTTCACTTTCGCTCTCGTGGATAGGGAAACTTTTACGCACAGACATCAATTGGCCTATAAATAACTAACTTAGTTATTTAAGCACACAGATTTGTTTTAAAACTATTTCTAAATTCAGTTCCAATTTTAAGCAAACAAATAAATTCACAATAATAACGTAGTGTGTTCAAAAAGCTTTGGTTTTTCATATTTATGTATGCTAGAAAACAATATGTTTTGTTATATATTTTAATCCTTTATATTTATATCCTATATATATTCTTATTATATCCTATATATATCCTTAATA